AAACAACTAATGTAGTGCAACTGGGCATAAAGAATCATAGCTACTCAAAGAAAATAAGGGAAAGATATAGTCCTTCTGGCAAAATTATAAACCCAGGGCAGAATTTTGCTTTATAAGCAACATTGAAATGATGACAACCTTCATTTTGAATCCATGCCTCCCTTTTTGTAAAAGCCATAAAATTGTTCCTGTATTTTCCTTTCCTCTCTGTTTTCCAACATCAGCAGTTAATGGGGATGAAATTGGAATTCCATTTATGTGTAAGTAACTGCCCCATGTGGTGTTCTACAAAACTGTGGATGGCTGCAATTTTCTAGCCAAAGAAATACCCCAAATGTCCATTTCTGACCCAAATCTCTAAAGACCACCATTGGTTGTATGAAGTAGGAAGAGGTGTTCTGAATGACCTACTGAAGGCTCATAGTCTTGTATAATTCAGATGGACAATGGCAAAGTTAGAAACAGTGAAGGACAGGTCAGACATGAAATGAAATAATATTCAGGGGCTGTCGTGGAGAAGAAGGGTTCAACCTACTCTCCAAAGCAGGACAAGAAGTAAAGGATGGAAGACTATCAATGACTGTCTTCTCAATCATCCATTTCATGGTTGTCCCAAAGGTGCTTTTTCAAGAGGCAACTGGACTTTCTGGTTTTTCCTTGAAGATGTTTCGCTTTTCATCCAAGAAGCTTGTTCAGAGCTGAAGAAGCTTCTTGGATGAAAAGCAAAACATCTTCAAAGAAAAAACAGAAAGTCAGTTGCCTCTTGAAAAAGCACCTTTGGGACAAAGGATGGAAATTTATCAAAGATCCAATCTAGAATTAAGGAGAAATTTCCTGACAGTGAGATCAATTAATCAGGAGAGGTTGTGGGTGCTCCATCACTGGAGGTTTTTAAGAAGAGATTGGACAATTGTTTGTTTGAAATGGTATAGGGTTTCCTGTTTAAGCAAGGGGTTGGACTAGAAGACCTCCAAGGTCCCTTCCAACTCTATCATACTGTACTTTTTAATATAGCCTGGAAGTGGGAAAATGAACTTAATAAAAGCTTTAGTTATTGTGGGGAGCATAAAGTCCCTTTTCAATCCTGAACAAAGAACTATTAATATAATAGGAGAGGGAATTCTTCAGTTGTTCAACCTAGGTAGCAAAATGTCTTGCCCTCGCTTTAATAAGAATGGGTTGACAAATTGTAAACTCTACTGCAATATAGCTTACACAAAGCCATGTTTACATTTCTGGGATCTAACTTTATAAAACAGATCAATAAGTGTTGCTCCTCTGTCTAGAGCCAACCACTACCCAGGCATTTCCACCACTACAAAAAGATAAATTGCTCGGTCCTTCAAGAGCTGCAGAACCCAAAACTTTCAAAGCAAAATTACCAGCATTAAATGGCACAATTTGACTCCTCTTTCCTCATTACATGCAAACCTTGGGTTGAGAGCTTGCATGAACGATGATGCTTAATCTGTCCCTAAATGACATATGTATCTACTTTGAGTGCCTATTAAGCCTTAAGCACGCCAATACCTGATTGCATTTTAATCAAGAATAGATATGGGAGAAAAAATCCCATATTATGTTTAAGCACTTAAAGCAATCCTTCCAACAAGCTGCCAGATTTAAAGCTCACGGTGGAAATGTATGGATAACAAATATCGGCACGAATTCTTAGACTAAAATGGTCATGATAAGGGTGGGAAGTTGAAATTTGAGCTCTATATATATTTTTCCCTTTGTGCCTTCTCCCTAGTTTAGCAAGAATAGGTTTAAAGTTGTCACAGAACGGAACGGGCTCTGAACATTGCAGATAATTTAAATAAACCAATTTAAACCAACGGTGATTACTCTCATTATTGTGGAACCCTCTCTGTGGCTTGTACCCACTTTAAGCCACAAGGGATGTTAGAAGTGGTCCTTGATGCAATATCACCACTTGAAACAAAAAAAAATGTTCCAAGAACGTTCTAGTAGCCTACAGAGATGATTGATACAGAAGCCAAAACTTTGACATATTCAATCTCAACGGATTCTGCTTCAAACCTAATTAGATGGCCTTGCACATTGCTTTTGAATCAGATCAGGGAGTTCTTACATTACGTACTCGTATGGTCATCCTAACCAAAGGTAATAAATCTATACAGGTAGGCAGAATTGCCATTTGTATGCAAAAGCTTCCAGTGACAAAGAAAACACACACACACCCCGCAAATGTGTCCTACATCTATTAGCCACATGGGATCCAGGAGAAATTATAATTACAATACATCTTGTAATAAGCAAACAAACAAACTTTATGGCTTTGGTCCCATCAGCTTAGTTTCCCTCAAGCATACTTCAGATTAATTACAACACATTTAAACAGTAATACTGACATCTCTGTCTCCTTTTTAAATACCATTAGTACTGTCAATAAACTCCTGCAAACAAACAAGCCCAAAGGATTTGCTTTCACTGAAAGGGCTGGGGATTCTTCCGAACTGTCATTCTAATATGAATGCTAACTTCCTCATATTACCCCCCCACACAAATTACTGGTAAAGAAAAGGGTAACTCCAACTGGAATCCTTGATTATTATCTCATGCTAGTTTAACCTATGCTTTGATATACCTCTGTTCTTAAAAAATCATTTTCTGGAGGTTAACATTGAAGTGGTTGACCATTGCTAAGATTTCTTGATGGTCTTGTATCGAAACATTAAGCAAGCTTGATCCTGCTTAGATTTTTTAAGATCAGATTTTTCGACTAGGTGCTGTTGCCTTCTACGGAATGCTTTCTTTTGCAAGCCCTGTAAGAACGGGACCACCTGTCTATTGGAACTCTTATTCTGGGGTTCCTCTTATTTAATGGGGATGTGACTTGATAGCAGATATTGATCTCAGGGCCTGCCACAAAGAAGAGGGAATCAAGCTATTCTCCAAAGCATCTAAGGGCAGGACAAGAAGCAATGGGTGAAAACTCATCAAGGAGAGAAGCAATCTAGAACTAAGAAGAAATTTCCTGACAGAACAATTAACCAGTGGAACAAGTTGCCTCCAGAAGTTGTAAATGCTCTGACACTGGAAGTTTTTAAGAAGAAATTGGATAACCATTTGTCTGAAATGGTACATGGTTTCCTGCCTAAGCAGAAGATTGGACTAGAAGACCTCCAAGGTCCCTTCCAACTCTGTTATTCTAGTTATGTTGTTGCCAAAAGTGCAGTTATATATTTGAAAACTAACTTAGCCCAACAATTTGTTCAAGATTTAGCAATATTGTGGCAGGGTGAGTTATGGAGGGTGCTACATTTTCAACATATAACCTATGAGAGGGGTGCCTCCCAGATGGGTATGTAATGAGGAGGACAGTATCTCATGCTAGAGGAGCTGTTGGTTCAACCCAGTAACCCATGATGGTTGTTTTAGCCCATGCTGGCTCAGGAACTCTGGGAGTTGAAGTCCACAGATCATAAAGATATCATAGATGCCCACCACTGCATTATCATGCAAGGAATGAATGGTTTGGGTTTGCCTGGCACATTTGCACATATTTTGATGTAATTAAGTAAATAGTATACTACTTCATCCCAGGACAGCTGCTGAAAGCTACAGTTACATTGCTTAAGCATTAATATGATGTTTCTAGTCTTCTATTCACTAGAAGACATCACTAGACAATAAAACTCACCTGATTAATCAGCAATAGGTCATTTGACATGGGAACCAGATTCTGGAAGTCTGCTTTATCTCATCTAAGTAAAGAAAGGAGGAGAAATGAAAGAATTCTTCTGCCTCAAAGTGTCTTTTTCACAAAAGTGTCCCAAAGGTGCTTTTTCAAGAGGCAACTGAACTTCCCTTGGTTTTCCTTGGATCCAAGCTTCCTGGATGAGAAATGAAATGTCTTCAAGGAAAAACAAAGAAAGCCCAGTTGCCTCTTGAGAAAACATCTTTGGGACAACCATGACCTGGAAGACCAAGAATCTCCATAGACTTTTTCACAAAGAGTTTTCCAAAAAGGGGTAGAATACATGATTTTCCCACCTTTCACAAGGTTTGCTTGTGTGTTGCTCTTCCAGGAAATCGCAGTGTTTCAACTTCAGAAATAAATACAGATTTAGAATTTAGATTTGTAATACCGATGCACCAACTGAGCAGCATTTAGCATTCATCAAAAGAGAAATCAGGCATATTCGAAAGAGGTGCCTCCAGATATTTACATTTGAAACATACTAGAGACTCTGTTTCCTGATGCTTTTGCAAACACTTCAGAGTTATCTATTTTTTAAAGATCATCAGTTTTTTTCTGAGATCATCAGTTGTTTTTTTTAAATCCTCCTGGAAGAATTGAAAGAAAGCAATGAAGACCTGGAAAGCTTGGTGGCTTTGGAGGTTCCTAAAACCAAGGGGAGATTGAATCAATCACAGCTTGTCTTCAGACAAGATAGCATTGCCAAGATTGTAATCAGGGCTGTTTGCAATGAGCTACACACATCAGGTGAGAAAACAGCTGTATCCCAATTAGCACTGACCTGGGAATAAGTCTCATTAAAACTCATTGGGGCTTACCACTAAAAAGACATGTGTTCTTTCAGTCACTTTGCTCTGGCTATTTAAACAGAAACTATTTAAGCCAAAGAAGAGGATATTGTTGGCATTGACCCCAGTTGCAGGCAGTGGTGGACTGCTACTGGTTTTTCTTGGTTCGGGCAAACTGGTAGCTAATTTTATCATTTTTAATTACTGGTTCAGTGAACTGGAAAATCTGACCCCTGGCTTTTTGATCCCTGGTTTTTCTGCAGACTGGAGGGGGCATGATTTCACATGCTGTCTACATCCCACTGATAGGACTTCGCTTGTTTGCACAGCACAGTTATTGCCATGCTGTGGACTGATGCCAGTCATCACACCATGGGCTGGAGACCCCTGACCTAGATGATTGAGGATCTCCATAGTCATTGACTAAAAGTTTCAGACTTGGTTAAATGATCATGACTAAAACTGAATTTCCATAGTTATATTTCAATCTAAACTTCCCAACATATTTCATTGGCAGTGCTGTGTGAGGATGATGGTCATTGTAGCCCTCAAAATATCTGTTAGGAAGGTCAGAAGATGCAGGCCAACTTCATTGCATGAACAACCTGAAAGAAACACAAATATGCTGATACACAGAATGTTCTTTTTTTGTCATGGGATTTTGTTCCCTCTAGTTTGTTTTTTTTAAAAAAAACTCTGTTGAAAGAATAAAAACAACCAAGCCACTAATGTGACCTTTCCTCTTGTTTTGCCAACAATTTCATATCATTTTTGCAGAGGTATGAAAATGCTTGCTGTTTGCATACATTAAATCTGATATGTCTATTTAATTTGCATGTGCAATACGGGCAGCCAAAACTGGATCCCCCTTTCATTCATGTTCTCTATCTTGTTTGCTGAGACTTAGTGTAGATAAACCTCCAGGAATTCTGTCAGGCCCCTCATATGACATCACTGGAATAAAAGAGAGAGGGAGTAATTTGCAGTATATTTCCAACAATAGCCCATGCTGGGCTCCAAATAACAGATTTCTTTTTCTCTAGTCAAGGCAGTCAGAAAGGGACATGGATCAATAGATCTCTACAGGAGATGGCTAGGCCATTATGCATTCAGCTGCAATTGGAGACAGGCTACAGTTCTCATCAAATGAGTGTATTGGTTTGAAAAGCAACAGGGATGATGATCAGACAACTCTACAAGATTATTGGTAGGAGAGCTTCCCCCGGCCTCATCACAAGTCCTTTGATGAATTGATTGGCATGTCCAAGTCTTATAATTAGGATGGCAAGGAAAGGGAATTTTAGTATCCATTGAGGATGCTCTATTGTGATCCTCAAGAATGAGCTTGGCAAGTTCTCAAGAAATGTCCTCTCTCTTTTGGTTCTTTGTATGGATGATAGAACAAGAATCAGGCTTGGTGTGCATCTGGTAATCCCTAATAGACAGCAGATGTCTGCATTTGCTCTCTACTAAGCCATTGCCCATCAACCCCTTAATTCACACTATGCCATCAGAAGGAAGGACGGAGTTAGTTAATGTTCAGACTGAAAGTAAGAAGCACCACTTCCAATCCCATTCCCATTTAATTGACTGCACAGCAATGGTATTTTGATGCAAGTCCAAGCATTCACTTCTGAACCAGTAAAGCAAGGATCTATCATGTAGCCATTGTTCCATCTTTCTGCCCTGGTGAATGCATAAAATACTTCGGGAATGATTTGCAAAAACTAGGGCATTGTTCAGGTGTTTGAAGACTGAGGCAGGGGCTCAGTTATTTAGAACTCCATCAGAGGCATTTTTGCAGCTTCATCCCCAAACAAAATTGGCTTGGATGCATGGTGGCATTTGAGTTTGGAAGATTCACCCTTACCATTTGATGGCATTGAATGAAAATCTATTGCTAGCCTAAGTGTCCTCCTTCATTTACACACTCAAACGTAGGTGCTATAGGAATTAGACATTTACTCAAGGCTGAAGAGATTACAGCAGACAAGGAATATAGAGCAAAACACAGTCTCTGAAAACAAAAACTCAGAAGCTTGCCTGAGTAGTCTTGTTTTCAACAGGACCACACATAAGAATAGTCCAAATCCAGTCCTAAGTTCAGAGAGCCAAGTCAGGTTTGTCAGCCAGTCCAAAGATCAAGGTTTCAGGAATCACAAGAATAATGTGTCAGATTTGAAGATCAGACAATTGTTTCCAGCAGAAAAACAGGGGGCAGGGCTGCCTTTTAAATAGCACTAGCACTTAGACTTATATACCACTACACTGCTTTACAGCTCTGTCTAAGTGCTTTACAGAGTCAGCATATTGCCCACAACAATCTGGGTCCTCATTTTACCAACCTTGGAATGATGGAAGGCTGAGTCAACCTTGAGCCCTGTCAGGATCAAACTGTTAGTAGTGGACAGGATTAGCCTGCAATACTGCATTTTAACCACTGCACCACCACAGCTCTTTTCAGATAGCAGCCAGTTGTCTTTGATCAGATTTATTCTCTTTCATGGAAGAAGCCCCATAGAATGTCTTTGCTCTGTTCTCCACTCTATTGGCAGAGGATGGGAAGCCAAATTCACTGTCATCATCATCATCTGACTGTTCCAACTATCCAACTGGTGCCAGTGCTTAATCAGCCTCAGGTGATTTTTGGGTTTGTGCCTTCTGAGGCTGACATCCCACAGGTTTATCTGGATCACCTTCTCCACAGGCAGATTTAGAATCTGAGTCCTTGTCTGTGTCCCTCAGAAGGTGCTGTTCATTCACTAGTATACATTGCAAATACCAAAATACGAATTAGCAAGGGACGTTGTTTAAAGGTAGTCTATTGATCTTGCCAATGAGATTGTCAAGAGTGAAGCATGGATTATGTGCCTCTTCATTTTATTTCAATTGTCATTTGAGTAAGGAGGGGGGATGTTGACTAGGAATGGGATAATTTGGAGAAATGAAACTTCTGCATTTCCATGGAAGTTTGCGAGACTCTGGAAACTCTTCAAGGTCAGATTAACAGGCGTGCAGAAGAAGGCAGATGGTTCCCATAACAAAGATAACTTGTTTATATGATCTACACGGAAGCCTGGGGGTTGGGCTGGGAAATCCACCATTTAATATTGTGAACCTTAGAAATTCAGAGTTACTTTTACCTCACCATTCCTCTGCCATGTATTCAATAAACAGCAAGCTTTTCAGAATTGAAATGATCCCGAATTTTTATTTGGATACTCAAGCTGGATGTTGACCGAGATCTTGTTTTCTCTTTTTTCGTGATGAAATGTGTAAGTTTGCTATGACTTGAACAACATGCCAACATATATAGGTTGCCATGCGGTGCCAGGAAGCCTGTGTAAGTTAAAAATAAGGCAAGAGAAGAGTAAGAAGGCAAGGAGTGCTAAATCATTTTCTTCCTTTCTCTGATTAAGAACATAGAAACTATAAAGGCACGATAGGAAGTACCGAGCAAACACAATTGTAGAGTCATGATGAAAGAATGCTTAGGGTATTCTGCTCAGCGGGTATTTTTATAACCTGAGGGGCTTGAAAAATCCTGTAATTTCAAAGGAAGATGTAATAGCATTGATCCTAAACTGAGCAGCGAAAGTGAAGTGAATTTGATGGCAGAAAAATACTTTTCAAATGAGTAAAAGAAAGCAGCCACTCTTTGATTGTGATATTCGTGTTTTATTTTCCCCTTGCACCTTTATCAGTTATTTCTTTAGAAACAAATGAAGAACCTGCTGATTGCTAATTCAAAGATGAGGGGGAATAAAACTCAGCCAGAGGTTAGAGAATATATTATCAGGCCACTTTCAATTATGTGTGTGTGTATTATACACACACACATACACAAACACAAACACACACAAGGGCATGCATACCTAGGCTAGGGAACACTATTACTGGGGGAGACTTCCAACTAGTAGGCTTCCAGATAGGTCTATTTTATTTTTAATTTCTATTTTGATTAAAACAATAAAAAAGGAATGGAGGAAATAAATTAAAAAGGACTGGGGGATGGGGTGGAAGGAATGCATAATTAATATACAGGAAGATGGCAGGGATTAGTTTAAAGGCTTTGTGTGTGACTAATTACGTTCTCAGCAAAATAATGTATGTAGAGAGTGATATAATAAAGCTACCAAACTACTGTGTATAATTTCCCAGGGTGTATTGCATGCATGAATTAGGCAAACAGTCAAAGAGAACAGTAATCAACTCTAATATACTCATTTAATAAAATGTTTGCTGGATCAATAATAATATAGAACACTGAAGAATTAAACTACCCTCTCTTGTTTAAGGACTCAAACGTAGCTGTGTTCAGATAAATAAAGTGAAATAGATGGTCAGTAATTCTTTTTCATACCCATATAAGCCAAGGTAAAAAAAAATAACAGGTGCAAATTGCAATCATCTAGACATTGTTTAAATTTTAAGAAAAAAAATATTCCTTAGAATAGAATAACAGAGTTGGAAGGGACCTTGGAGGTCTTCTAGTCCAACCCCCTGCTTAGGCAGGAAATCCTACACCACTTCAGACAAATGGTTGTCCAATCTCTTCTTAAAAACTTCCAGTGTTGGAGCATTCACAACTTTTGGAGGCGAGTTGTTCAACTGATTAATTGTAACTGTCAGGAAATTCCTCCTAAGTTCTAAATTGCTTCTCTCATTGATTAGTGTCCATCCACTGCTTCTTATCCTACCCTCAGGTGCTTTGGAGAATAGCTTGACTCCATCTTCTTTGTGGCAGCCCCTGAGATGTTGGAACACTTCTATCATGTCACCCCTAGTCCTTCTTTTCATCAAACTAGACATACCCAGTTCCAGCAAACTAGACATACCCAATTCCGTTCTTTATATGTTAGAGTAAGAGCTGTGCAAAGTGAACAGTTTACCTGGATTTCTTTATCTCTGAAGGCTTTTAAGAAGAGGCTGTTCTTCAATTTTCTCGCAGAGGATGGGGTTAGATCAGTGTTTCTCAACCTCACCAACCTGAAGATAGGTGGGGATTCTAGGAGTTGGAGTCCTCCCATCTTCAAGTTCTGTAGTTGAGAAGATGATTCTTGTAGTCTGTTCCAACCATACGGTTCTATCCTTGTGCTTACTTCTATAAAATCAGTGGCGTAAATATTGCTTTATTAAGCAGCCGACATTAGTTTAATGAGATGGATTAAAATATGCTTATGGGCTTTTAAGATTAAATATATTGTTGCTGTTGTTATCATCCAGTTCATCTGCTTTTATGTTTTGCTCTGTAGCTGATAAGGATGCTAAAGCAGCTTACATAAAGACTATAGATACCATAATATAACTAAATAATTGTAAACTGCTTTTTAAATAGAGTTGCTGAAGAATGGGCATTTGGTTTGGTTTCTCCCATTCACAGACAAAATTGGTTCCAAATTATTTCAGTTACC